TGGACAATGACTAAGGATGCCAGCAGAAGAATCCATGCTTTTCAGTTGTAGTGTTGGAGAAGAGTACTGAATGTCCCAAGGAATGCCAAAAGAACCAACAGACACATCTTGGAGAAGATGCAGCCAGAGTGCTCCTTAGAGGTAAGGCTTGTGAAGCTTCGTGTTGCATACTTTGGGCATGTTGCTAGCAGAGGCTTATTCCTTGGACGGGGGCATCATGCTTGGAAAAGTGGAAGGTCTGTAAAAGAGAGGAAGACACTCAGTAAGATGGATTTATACTGTGACTATAGCAATGGGCTTAAGTGTCAGGGATGATATGGATGGTACAAGATAGGACACGGTTCAGATCTGTTGTTCATAGAGTCTCTATTAGTTGTATTCAATTCCACAGTACCAAATACCAAACAATATATAAGCTGGTTTCGTATCATGTCCTACAGCCTAGTTCATTACTCATTCTTTTGTCTTCATTTTTGGAAATAAACTGCCAATCTTTCTTCTATCATGTGGGCTGGTGGTTTGAACCACCGACCTTTCTAGTAGTTTGATACATAACTTGACACTATGTCAGTTCAGTTCCTTCAAAGAGACAAGAACCAACTTGAGTTGTACAATTTGATTGGTAGTGGGTGTGTGTCTAAGGGAAACTGGAAGAATCTTTTCTCAAAAACAATGTATTTGAATCTCGTAAATAAACTATTATTTAAAAAATAAAAGAAAGCAATAACTTGTTGTGGACTTGGCTCCAGACTCTTGGTGGCCCATGCATGTCAGAGACGGAGTGGGCTCCACAGGGTTCTCAGCGGATCATTTGTCAGAAGATGATCGCCAGGGCCTTTCTGCTACGGTGTCTCTCAATTCTCTAACTTTTCGATTAGCATTTAAGCATATTAACTGAACTCCTGAAACAACAAACAAATCTACTGCTGCCCAGTTGATTTTGGCTCATGACGACCCTCCTTTGGGTTCTCTTGTAAACCTGAACAGAAGCAGATTGCCTTCTCTTTCTTCCTCAGAGCAGGTGGTGGTTCAAACTACGAACCTTTTGGTCAGCACCCCAGTATAGAACGCACTGCGCCACCAGGGCCCCCTTGGGTTAAACACTCTTGTCTCTGCTGAGCAATACTTATTCTCCAACATGAAATGCTTTACTTTCAGACCTGTGGGCCACGTAATCTCAGGGTTCCTCTTGAAAGGTGGTGACCCTAAAGCTCTTTGGTGAGACACCCTGGAATCCCTTTGTGCTGTTGGCAGAGATTCTGGGGACTAGGAACCTCTTTTTGGGGACCTTCAGTACGACTCAACTCCCACCATGCAATTTTGAGTACAGCTCCCTCGGCAAAGGTGTTCTGCTCTCTGTGGACAGGAACCAAGTCTCATTTCTCTGTTGCACCAGTGTCCAGTACGTTGTAGAGGTGCCAAACTTACCAGACGGTATTGGCTGGTTTTATCTATTTATTTAGTTTGGATACCTTTTAAACCTAGATTTAAATTCATAGGCATTCTCTCCACAACAGCATTCATAAATGGACAACCTGTTGTGGGAAAGTGACATTTTAATTTTTCTAAGATAACCAAATTCAGAGATTATTCAGTAATAATCAACCCTAAAGTAGGGGACATATTTAATACTAGTCATCTACTCATCTCATTCTGGACATGCCAGCTTTTCTTATTGTCTTTTTAGTCATATATTTCTTTACAGATTGTTTGTATTTTCAACAAGCTATTATTTCTTATTTATCTTTCTCTATTAATACAAATGAAGAGATTAAATTTGTGTTTTAGTAAATGTGTGGCTTGTGTCTATTATGATACATGTTAGTGATCAACCCCTGCAGGAAATGGTATTCTCTCCTCTAAATTCTTACATGTTGTTGTTTGAATAATATCCTTGATACTTTTCACATTATTTTCTACATTATCATTTCTATGTTGTCATTCAGTGACATAGTTTTGTGAAGGGACCAAAGACACAGCAGCCATGCACAAATTATTATCTAACAGAATAAATATGAGGGGATAAAGTAATATATGAAGAGTTCTAGTGTTAGCACTAGCCAAAGGATTTAACTTCTTAAAGAAAGTGTAAAGATGGACTTGAACTTGGTGGAATAGCTCTAACTCTGGTAATAGTTTTAGACAGAATATTCATATTTACATAATTTGTAACAAGAGAGTGGTGATAACTGCTCAAAGGTGATGATGAACTTAACCAATGTTCCTGAATTACATATGTAAGAACTGGTAAAATGGTATGTTATACACATTTTATTACACAATTGAAAAAAAGAGATTGCTCTTTAAATGTTACTTCAAAGGTGACTGCTACATCAATTTTGTTTCTTAAGAACGCCATAGATGCTAGGGTTTTAGAGTCAGGATTTTGCAGTGTTAACTACTTTGTGTATTTCTTCTAAGATTGCCTTCACAGAATTTTTCCACTGTGATTTACTGAAAGGTTACAGAGAAAATTGGTTTTCCTTTCTAACATCGGCACACATTTGGTTTTATGACATTAATTATAATATCCGCCATGGAGCTTTTGCAGATTAAAACAAAACAAAACAAAACAAAACAAAACAAAACAAAACAACACAACTAGACCACAAAAGGTGAATTTAGGGTAGCTGACTTCAGATGTCGCATGCTGAAAAATGCACTGTATGTCAGTGTTTTTGAGTGTGTAAGAGTGTGGGTATGTAACACACAGTGGGCACACCAAAGTGACTTGTGAATGTTCCTTATTATTCACTGAATGGAGCTGTGACAAAGAGCAGGCATCAGAACACATGGGGTCACAGAGGCTGTTATGTTTATTGTGCAGAACAGACAGTGATAATCCACTAGAGAAATATTTCAACAAGCAAGCAATTCAAAGTACAATCATAGACAGCAACTCTACATGAAGAACAAAGATTAAAGTTAGAAGACACTCAAAAGAACAGGGAGAAAGTAAACTGCAGTAAAACATCTTGGTACTTTTCTCCTGCAAACATACCTAACTTGCAGAAATGGTAGAAAAGTTAAATGTCCAGTCTTACGTAGCTGTGACCAACAACAGCAAAGAACAGTCCTATAAAATTTATCTCCCACAAAAATAAACTATATATATATAAATTTTATGATGTTCTTACTGTTCCATTGGCCACAAGCTTTTATTTTTCCTTTTCAGTATGAAAAATGAGGTATACTGGGACTTAAGAGGTAGTTGTGTGTTTTGATTGTACAATGTAGAGGAAATAAAAGTAACTTCATCAGAGATGGAAATCACACGGCAATCCGAGGTCAGCCAGCGTGCGGGCAAACGGCTTCTGTTTTTACGAGCTGGCCAACGAGGTTGCTAAAAAAGGTCCAACCAAAGAGATGGGATGGACTTCTATGTTTACGAGCTACTGTTTATTTGCTTATTTAATGCACAGTGAAGAGTAACAATGAGTTTTAATTCTCTCCAGAGCTCCTTTGGTGAATCACAACAGTGAGCATTCTGCCGCTCTCAGAACGGAGCTTCTGAAACTACCTCCCTGAAGCGGCAGGAAGAGAGCTGGTTTTAAGTTTCATTTGGCTGCAGCACAAAAAGCCGTACTGACACAGCCATCACGAGAAACTACCTCTGGGCCCAGTTGATAATACCATGTTAAAGTCGGCACCCTCACAAGGAGAGAAAGGAATAAAAACTCTGCATAAGAGGCGCTTAAAATAAATCTGGTCAAGACATATTACAAAAAAAAAAATCACATTTGTGTAAAATACATGAAAATATCTGTCAAGCATTTCCTTATAGTCTACTAATTCTTAAAAAAAAAAAAAAAACCAAAACAACAACCCACACATATATTCTTGATTGTATTATGCAAAAGCTGCGCTTGTCGCATCTCACCTACAAAGCTTCAAGTTTCTTTGAAGGCTGCCTTTATTTGACTGTATTTTGCAAAAAAGTATGTAAAAAATGTCTTCCTTTTTTATCAAATTTCTTTTACAAAAATAGTTTTGATTAGGGATAAGCTGCAGTTTGAACTATGGTTTCAAATCTTAGACCAAAAAATATATAAAGATATAAATGGATGCTGCGAGTAACAAGTTCATTCCTTTTCGAGTCTGGAGGTAGGTCATCACAAGTCAATTAGCCCATTTCCTTAAACAATTCATTTGAGGTACAAACTTGTAGGGTCATATTTAAATGTTACAGTCAAATCAGGTGTGGTGCGTAGTGTGTCAGAGGGAAATTATCCTTAAGAACCTAGGAGCGATTTGGTTTTTTTTAAAACAAAACAAAAAATTATTCAAGTTATATGTAGAAATCTAGCAGAGAAGCTGAGACAGGTACTGATAAAATTTTAATTAAAAACAACAACAACAAAAAAGAAAAATTACATAGCCATGCTGAAACACAGTAAGGAGACTGCTTCTTTAACTGTCATTACGTGTACAAAAAGAAATGCAGGTGATTGTTAGAATCACCTACCCAGTAAGGTTTTTTTTTTTTCTTGCATTGCTTGGGTATAGCAGCATGTTATAAGTACTAGACTGTAAATTAATTGTAACATTCAGAGGTAGTATTGAGTAGTGGGGATATATTGCATCTCTGGCTAAAAGTGCAGTTTGAATGAAGAGATGGTGAACTGCAGCCGAAGTAAGGCACCTGGGTCAACCATCCTATGTCAAACGTATTACTTGAAGTAACACAAAAGCTTGATTTGAGGTAAGTGGTACTTAGGTCTTTCACGGAAACTGACACATGATGAAGAGATAGAGAAGGAGAGGGATTGCTTTTTTTTTCTTTTTTTAAAAACTGTAGGATAACTATAGCAAAAGAAATTTAGAGTTCACTCCTCCCACCATCTAGGTGAGTTCATCATGCATTATTCTGTTGTACCTTTTCATTAAATTACAAAGAGGATAAAGTTAACTTGTCTAGGTTCCTGAAAGATTTTGAGGCCGACAAGTGTTATTTATTGCTAACCGGCATCTGGCACTGTAGGAAGTAGGCTCTACCCAGATAGGTGTTTTCCTGAAAATGAGGGCTCTGAGTCAACTGATCACTCCCGCTGATGTACATGACAGCCATAAATTCGGGAGCTGGCAGTATTTATTTGCTTACTTCCCTTTTTTGAAATGTGAACATCACCCTTTCTGGTTTTGCTAGCTGGATGAAAGGCTACATCAGCATTTCGTCTCGTTTAGAAAGAAAAGTTAAAAATCATCAAGTAAATGTCTATAAGGTTATACGAAAAAGAGAGTAGTATCTATTCCTTATCTTTGGTGTTCTAAACAGGATTCTCTACTTGGGTGAGCGGGCTGGGCGGGGGTGGAGGTGACCACAGTGTCAAACACCGCACCTTTCCTCTATGAATGCCCAGATCATGAGAGGGATTTGGCCCTCTCTGATTGGCAGTGCAGTGATCAACAAAACCCAATTCCATGTTGCTCTCACCCACCCACCCTTGCTTACCAGATCAACAAACTATTAGTAAGTTAAGAAGAAAGATGACAATAATTAAAAGTTGCATTGTTAAACTGTGTCCCCTGTGTTACAGCAGTTTTTCACTAAACCTGGGACTGTGAAGGGATTACAAAGAAGTTGATTAATATAGTCCTTTTTAAGGTTATGTGATGTCTCCCCCCCACCCCCGCCCCACCCCTGCACCCCTCTACCCCACCCCAGATGAAAGTGGAAAGACCATGGCAATAGAGAATAAGTGGTCACTGCAGTGTCTTCTCCCTTCAAAAGATCCAACTGCTGCTGAGGTAGAAATCGAAGGTTGGCGGCCCCTAATCCTCTTCTGCAGACTCTTGTGAGGATGTCTCTTCAGTCTCCTCCTGGAACACACAAAGAACACAACCATAACTGGGTGAGCAGAGGAGGTGGATGGATTAGCCACAACTGGGGAAAAAGGTCATGTCCTTCCCCAGCAGTTACCAGTCACTGCTGACTTAAGCTTTCACATCAAGGTGGCTACCAGCAAATTCAATTGCTCTCTTTCCCAGAGAGGGTGCTCTGGTGGCTTAGAAGCAGGGACTTTCACTGCCAACACTAATGTACATGGTTTAATCCATCAGCTGCTCCATGGGAGAAAGATAGGCAATCTTTTCCTGTGCGAACTACTGTCTCTGAAAACCTGCTGGGTTTATTCTGACCCAACCCCATGCGCATCATTTGGAAACCAATCATCAGGGCTTATTCTGAGTTGTCTCTGTGTGGACTCCAATTGTCAACCTTTCGGTCAGCAGCAAGTGTGTTAACGGCATGCACCATCTAGAAATGTCTTATGAGGCTTACCAAATGACTTCAGAAATGTCCCTGAGTGGCACAAAAGGTGTTCAGCGACTTATCAAAAAGTTTGTTCTGCCTCAGGCTACAGATCTGAAAGATAACAGCCATAAAAACCTAATGGCATTGCTCTGGGTGGTTTAGGTATTATTTCAGGGAGGTTTGATGGCTCAGTGATAAGGAATTGTGCTGCCAACACAAAGGTTCATGGTTCAAATTCATCAGCTGCTCTGTAGGGGGAAAGATGGGCAGTGTCTCCTTGTGCGATTAACTGCCTCTGCAAACCCAAGGGTAGGGTTAGCTACGGGTCAGTTCCATCTTCATGGTACATAACAAACTGTCATTATTTCTATTTTATACAAGAGAAAATCAAGATACAGAAAAGTAACAGGCCCTGGTGTTACAGCATGCAGCTGCTAACTGAAAAGGTGGCAGTTCAAACTCAATCAGTGAGAAAAGATCTAGAGATCTGTCCTAAGAAGTTGTAGAGACCCTAGCCCAGAACTAGATTACAGTTCTACTCTGTAAGGTGGGGTCACCACGAATTGGAACTGGCTGGAGGGAGGGCATCTACCAAGGAAGTCCCGGTGTGTGTGTGCGTCCACAGAGTGTGTTTTAGCACTGGCTGTCCTGCCAGCTGAGGCAGCCTGGGAGCTGCCTTGGTGTCTGAGAAAGAGCCGCAGGAGTGGATCTGCTTCCTTTCCAAATCTGTTTCCTTCTGCTTGCATTTATTAAAGCACATTTTACGACGATGACCAAAGTTTGGCACAATGGCTCCATCTCCACACTAAATCCACGTTGACCAAACATTTAATGGTGGGCTGGCCAAGCAGAGAAAATCTAATATATATGTTTTTGCAGGGCCTCCCCTTCACATAAATCTAACTACTCCTTCCCTTTTCCTTTTTCTTCTGGCTCCTTACGGCTCTGGGATTTGTTGGGGTGTCTGCAAGCCAGCCTGAGCTGCACAGTCCTCTTGACTTCTGCTTATTTAACAAATGTGCAGCACCTTTCAGGACATGGGTGGTAAAGCGGAGACAATAAACATTTCTGATAAAAGCGTCGTTAGTGAGAGGATGATTTTTTATCAAAGGCTGCACATCGTCTCCTTTGGACAGCATGTGAAAAAGATCTAGGAGAACAGGTAAACATTTACTCCTGCAGCCGGCCGAGCCCCTTTAAGAAGGGCCAGCTTAAAACAGCTCATAACAGTCTTCATACTTTAATAGATTTGATTTTCCACATGGCTTCATTTTGTCTGGGTGGCTAACTGACACACTTTATACCTCTCTTCCTTTCCCAGGTCACTACAGTACACCATTCAGTAAAGCATGCCTGAAAGCTTGTCTGCATTATATGACCAAACTTCCATTCATTAGTGTTTGAAACACTTCAGCTGTGAAGGGCTCCTAAATGCTACCATGTGTGACACTTGTGCATAAGAACAGTAAACGCGAGGCAAGCGTGCTCTCTCTGTTTCTCTCTCCTTCCTTCTCCCTCTTTCTCTCTCTTTCTCTCTCTGTGTCTTTGTCTCTCTCTCACCCCCCCCCCACTCCCTCCCTCTCTCTTGCTTCTCTCCGGCCTTTAATCACAGCCTGCTGCATTCTACAAACCCTTTGCAAAGGGTTTCAAACGTTTTCCTTTCCCAAAAAGACTGAGAGAGCTGTAAATCCTAGGAATAAACACACATACAAATGAATGGATTACAGCTTCAAAAATATAACCCCAGCAGCATCAAGTCATGAGATTTCACACAGGTTTTGTTTAGTCTGCTTTGGGTTATGCGGGAAATGTGGAACGTATGAAGCTACCTCCCCTCGATCCTCAACTCCCAGAACTGTAGGCTTCACAGATTTAAGCAGCAGGTTTAGACTTCTTGACTAGGCAACAGGCCACGACCCTGAAACTCTCTCTGCAGTCGTGGCCACAAAGGAGGATGTGGCATGATCAAAGCCAAGGACAGACGAAAGAGAGACAAGCCAAGGTTCAACTCCCCTATGACCTTGTCTTTTCGCTTTATGTCTGAGTTCCAGAAAATTGCTAAACTGTTCAGCAGAGACACTCTGCATCCATCCCTAAATGACTCACTTTTCATTATGACATGTGGTAAGGACCTTCGTGCGCATCACAGAGGGAAAGCCAGCAAGTCTATCTTATTCCTTTTCACAGTTAAAGTACTGGAACCCAGAGAGAGTCAAGCTGGAAATTATCCTGGATGTACTGTGATTACTCCATTTCTAATTGATTGGATTTTTCTGTACAATTCTGGAAACCAAAGTACTTCCAAATTCAGAAGGAAACAGAATCCTAAGGCCCTCAACTTACAGAGACCTTATACGAGGATGGAGCATGATCAGCCTTTCAAAATACTGCCAGACACTTTGGCTGGTTTGGGTGATGAAGCTCCTGATAACTAAATGGTTTATTCAAGTATCTTTGACACAAGGTCTGCTGAAAGTGATGAGCTGACATTGCTTCTTCACATGAAGGGTTCATTGTTGCTGTGTGCCATCCAGTTGGTTTTCCCGAGAGGGTTTCTATGAGACGGGTCATCTAGTCTTTTCTCCCATAAAGTGACTGGTAGGTTCAAATCTCTGACTTTCTCTTAGCAGCCCAGGACATAAGTCATTGAACAAAAGGGCTCACAGCCATCCTTAACACAGTGTAAATGTTCGAGTCTGCGCTATGTTTTCCGACTTAGAAATTTTTGTACTAGTAGCTGTCAGTAAGTATTGGGTATACTATTTAAAGTAGCCTTGTTGGCATCATTGTTAAGTGTTCGAATGTTAAGCAAAAGGTGAACAGTTGGAACCTACCAGCCACTCCTCAGAGAACAGTGTGTCAGTTTGCTTCTATAAGGATAAATTGCTTTGAGAACCCTATAAAAGAGGCAGATCTTCTCTGTCCTCACAGGGCCAGAATCAACTCAAATGGCAATGGGTTTAGTTTTTTGGTTTCTAGGGCTTGGATGACTAGGGATGATAGAAGGAAAATTGATGCCTTTGAGCTGTGGTGCTGGAGAAGGGTGTCAAATAAGTTTGTCCTGGAGAGGGTGAAGCCAGGCTGCTCCTTGGAGGCAAGGACTCTGAAGCTCTGTCTGCCATACTTTGGGCATGTTGCAAGGAGGGACCATTCCTTGGAGAGGGATGTCATGCTTGGGAGGGTGGAGTTCCTTGGAGAGGGATGTCATGCTTGGGAGGGTGGAGGGACAGCGCAAGAGAGGAAGACCCTGGATAAAGTGGATTGACTCAGTGACTAGGGTAAATGGGGCAGGTGTGTTGGAGATGATAAAATTGGCTCAGGATAGGGTAGGGTTTAGAGCCATTGTACATAGATAGAGTCACTATGAGTTGCAAGTGACTTGATGACACATAACAGAGCTCAGATGAGGTACTGGTCGTATGATGGAATTACATACACTCTTGAGTAAACTGGATTAAGAAACTTCAGCTAATATATA